TGACCGATTAATGTGATCTCTTCTGTGAAGCTGTTTGTTATTGAAAAGCACTTTAAAGTCAACTAAAAATGATCCTTCTCGGAGTTTCGGCCTGAGCCAATGTCCTCGGATAATAGTACAAATATTATGGAGTCACTGTTACCTCACCATATTAGAAGTATAGAGCATTTGTAGATCGGCACTATACACAGGCCAATGTTGTAGTACTCTCTGAAGTTGCTGCACAATAGGAACAACACTTATCAAGTAGTGCATGTCTGTACCAGCGCTTTCCGAACAGTAAACACAAATCAGCGGTCTGCACAAGCCATGCGGCCTGGACACCATACTTCTAACCAAATGGAAAGAATGGTTTCGGAGGTGACAACCTTCCGGTGCATCCAGGTGGTCTCGATACAAGGAAACAAATGCATGAGGTGGATGATGCCAGCCATTAGAAAAACAGATAACAACAAGCTATCTGCGTAGCAATCAGTCTAACAGGATGCCAGAGAATTGTTGCACACAGATGAGGTCAATGAAGAACCAATCAGGAAAGGCAGTATCGTACGTTTAAGTAAGCGGCAACTTCCTTGTTTTGGACTAATTTAGATATGGACTACTTCATTTCTGTTATTAGAAACATCCACAATTTATGGCTTCATTTCATAACCCGGGACGCTGAGCTGGTTTTGGTAGGCATACACTGAAATTTCCCTCGAAGATCTACATTTCATTGTGAACCCTAGCGCTCGCTTGCTTAATATTGAAGTGCCTGCTGTTAAAGAATTGCCATACCTCATACCATCATTCCCATATATGGTAGTTTTCCTAATGACCCTGCAACATTAAAAGCATTCTTAATCTGAAAACGTGCGCAGAAAAATGTACTCAATCGGAAAATGTTTGTGGAAGTGAAAATAAGTAATAAAAAATGATCGTTTATTTATAACTCCATTTTATGGTTAGATGTCATGCCACCCGAGGGAAGCGCGGGGGCTGAAATACTGACAACCTGCGAAAGCCTAGATACGAACAGTCGGGTTCAAACCACAAACCTTCCGTTCAGTAAACTCAAGTCTTAACCACTGAGCTACCTTGAGAAGCTAAAATAGCTTAAACACAAGTAGCTAAACACAAATTGGCAACCGTGATACCTCCTTGGGTAGTGCTTACAGAGCGGTTGCTTTTTGAGGTTGTACCTCTTTTCGTGGACGGTACAGATGCTCATTGTATTGTCAGTCTTACAGATGAAAATGCTGACTGGAGAAATATAACCACCAGAAATCATGGCAGTTTTGTGTGTTTGATAATTTCGAGCAAGTGGTGTGTTGCCGGGTTGCCACCAATATATCTTCATTTTCTACTTTATTGATTTCCATCACATTCATGCGTACTGTTCGAGTTCCAGAAGTCTTCACTTTTTTGAACCTTGTGCGCGGCTTGTGCAGATGTCTGAAAATAACCCATCTGGATATCCCCGAGTACTACGCTTACAACGGCGCTAGAAATGACTTTTGTGACCATCGTACAAACTAGTGATTAGTGGCTGCCAAAAGCTAGCATTTTGTCTTGTGAGAGTATTGCGAGTAATGCGGGCCACCTTTGCACCGTAGATTCCAACTGTTGCTCCCGCATGATGTGACAATTAAGGACCACCAGAGTGGTAAACTGGTGTCTCTAGGGCTTCCCGTTCGTGTTCGCACTTTGATCTTATTCTCTCAGATGAGTCATGCCAAGTCGGTGAAACACTCAGCTCAGCAAAAACAGCGCGAGGAGTCCGTCGGAGCATTTTGGCAGTACTTTCGATTCCGCATTAGTTTTTTTATCAACGAAAACACATGATTTGGAGAGCAAAAATAAATCTCTTGAATATGGGGTTAGAAAGCTCATGTAAAAATTACGAAGAGCGAAATACCCGACCATACATTCTAGTATTCTTCCTAGCCTACGAGGATAGTAGCTCACCTCCAATTTGGGAAACATACGGGTCCTAACCTCGAACACAGCACGCACGTGTTGCAACATGAAATGGTTTTTGCACCCACAACAACTGTGATGGAGAGATATCAACTATTATCACGTGTATGAATAATCCATTCATCAAACTTGTTTGTCGAGTACGCAGCACAGACCACATGCATTGTTGCTAGCATTTTAATTTCAGTCTAGATTACTCTGTCGTTGTTGCTCATTGTGTCATACTTTTAATAGTTTTGCGTGAAGCTCCATCCATTTACCGCGAGGAAACAATTACTGCTTTCAAATGCTCATTCAGCTCAAAGTAACAAGTCCCCCTAGAGTACAGTAGTTACAAGATGAACACCAGCTCGACAAAAATGGCCGACTTAACTTGGACTGGTGACTTTAAGCAGAGGCTACCTGAATAGGACAGCTTTAGCTGTTAATCCAACAGCACTGTACTAACAAAAACCAAATTTCCCAATACGAATTATAACGGATTCATACACAAATTCGTTGGAATTCTTGTTTATTTAATTTATGCCAGCCTTTGTGACAGCCGAATAGGTTTCGAACCCACGAACTGCCGGCTAGTAGTCTAAATACTCAACCGTTCGGCTACGAGTGCTCAAAATACTAGCCGGGATGTCGCGGGGTCGAATCTCCCTGGAGTTTTCTGAGACGCCCGTTGCTGATCATTTGCAGTAAGTATGAAAAAATGCAGTGTTTTCAGCATAGACTGCCCAAGTTTTGGGAATTACCCATCTTCGACTAAGAAAACCCTGTCGGAACCTGTTAGTGTAGACAAACATCGCAAGACAAGCCTCAGGCAACCGGCTGCCCTCCTCCATTATCTTCATCCTTTCTATTTTCACTCAAACTACAACAGTATGGGTTTCTTCAGGGCACTGCTTTCTTGGCCTTTTCACTTGATCCAGTGTGCCGATGGCCTCCCAGGATGCGAAACGCGTGACGAGTTGTGCACCATGAATGAGCGAACAGCTTGTACTGCGCCGACGATTAAGGCGACATACACGAAGTCATGAATGATGGTCTTACACACATGAAAAGCTGGTCAACTGTATGATTACACAGACATTAACAGTACAATAGTGTTGTGTTTTAGATGGAACGGGTGGAAATATGAGTGGCCTAATATGGGCAACACTTGAGTGGGACCCGTTACGAAGAACTGGGACATCTACTTCCTTGGGTACAGGTCACACGTAGCCAACAGAAAAAAGTCGAAAGTTGAGACATCCTTTGCAATTCTGTCATGGTAACCTACTCGTATATCTAGTCCACCTGTCACGTAACCCAGGTAACGAAGCACTGTACTGGATCACTAAATCTCACCGAATGACGTCAGAGGACGTTACAATAAAAAGGCCGAAAAGTCTATTCATTCGATAGAGGAACATGAGAACAAAGAAAGGTGTTGTAAAGCGGTCCAAGAAGCCCAGATATACCATCTTTCATCACACTTGTGTGGGCAAATCTTTGCGAATATATGTATTTCTCGGGTTTACGAAAAAAATCAATTTGAAGGAACGGTTGATCGTGCTGTTCCAACCTCCCAGCTCATGGTTAAAACGCGAATTTACAGACCATTGAGTCCATGGTTCGAATCCAACCTCTGCCTCTCGTCTTCCCCTGTCTGGGCTTGGGCAACCTGGCAGTATCCCAGCCCTCGTGCTTCCTTTGGATGGCATGGTAGCTAGGTACCAAAAGGGTGCTACAGCTGAACGGTTTTTTCAAGTCTTTAGGGCAAAAACTGCTTCATTCTCTAAGTGCGTAGTACAGCACCACCCATTTTTTATGTAGGAAGCCAGAGAAGAAATGGTTTATGGAAATGTCGCGCCCTCCTGGGGCAGCTCCTCCGTCTCTAGTCCTATCTAACGTCAGTCAGCTGTTTTTAACCGACACTAACCAGATCTCGGAAGGCGACCGAAAGAACATAACAGTAGTCGAGAAGCTGATGAGACCTAACGATGAGTACACAAAGACAGTTGCCACTGATAAGAACAAAACGGGTCAAGGAACGAACCGTGATTTTTTTCGGCTGTCCCGCAGACGACATCCGGTTATCCAAAAGGATTCCACTAAGCACGCTCCCTCGAACCGAAGCTGAAAACATTTAGAAAGACAACTGTAGCCCCACAAAACACGTATAGCAGAAATCAGCTGCAGTGAAAATTTAGCCATGCCCCAAGACAATGTGTCCTACGCGATGATGCCGGCCGCCTATAGGGTAGATTACCCCCTAGGTTCCATCCTGGGTATAGTATTTTGTGACGTGTGGACTGTCGGATATCCGAAAGGGAGTTCGTCGCGTAGGTTGAAAGATTTGTGAAACCCACATTGGCATCCTTGCTTGCGAGCTAAAACTTTATTTCAAGAGTGGAATGCTACGCCCCCTTAGATGCACGGATGCGATATATCTTGAGGGTATTATTGAGGCAAACAAAATAGCGAACACAACTAGCGTGAAAGCTACTCTAATCACGTCTGATTCCGATGCAGTGCGAAACTGTTTTCAACCAACTGACCCCAAAGGTAGTACAACCCATTAGGCACTCCCTACCAGGCAAAACCGTTCCAGGATAGTTTTGTTCCAAAAAGATCTGCAACGTTCCCCACAGCAGGTTGAGTTTGTTTCAGTTCAGCAGTGGAAGTGGGAGGTGAACACGGTCTGTCTGGTGGTCATAGAACTTAACGCGTCATAAATAACCGCAACTTCCACTAAGCGCACAGAAACCAGAGAGAGGTGCTTATGAACAGTGACAACCTAACAATAAAAGCTGCATAAGGTCTATAACCTGCATAAGGGTGGTGGGCATAAACAGCCCATACAGAAAGTTTACATACCACGCTGCCTTAAAATCGGAAGGACTGAAACTCCACCAGACCGACAAATGCGAAAGACGGCAGAAGTGAACTTGAAACAAAGTCCTTCATAAAATAAGCTAATGATAACTAACGGGCTATCATGCGCACAAAGGGTTCAGAATAATTGCTTGATTCTCCTCCTGCCATGTAAAAACAAGCCAGTAAGACGGTTCAAATCTTACTTATTCCGGAGTGGTATATTGGAAAATAGAAATGACTACGGAGGCTTCATACTGCCACTATGTACAAAAGAACGCTGTTGGTTTTCTTTATGGAACGAGAAATGCCTACACAGCAATTTCACATTCAAGGGGTTTGGCTACTGCAAATCAACTTGCAGAATTGGTTATTCGAGCGTCCTTCATAAACACGGTTTCCTTGTTTTCAAACGGCATGAAACCTATTAGAAGTGGAGAGAACGTGACGTGAATTCAGAAGTAGCAGACATACCAAACTGTCTGGATCGGGTGATCAACTGTGAGATCCTCTTTTGCATCGGAATACAGAGTCCAGTAATATGTCTTCCGTAAATCCTACCGGTGTAGGGTGAAACAAATTGGGATAAGAGTCGCACATTCTAGTGACTTTAGAAAAACTGAAAACGGGGTTGGTTACCTTGTAATCCAGTTCAATATTGTGCACACATAGCATGCACTTCCTTTTGTTCTTTTTATAAGGGTCTGCAATTTGGACAGGCTAAAGGGGGTATTTCCAAATGGTTAGAAGCAGTCGGTACTTCGTCAGTCATGTTGGCTGGGGAGGAACAGGTTATTTGCGGAATGCTGGAGACGTTTGAAGAAAGTTGGCGCGATTGTGGTAAGATCCTTCCAGGTAGGTGTAACAAACGGAACATAGTAGACGCCATCTGCGCAGCACAGATTCCCTCGGAGGAAACTACTCCACGCAATGTTAAATCTAAAACTGAAGATCAAGATTAAAAAGAAAGCTCAAAAAGTGACTCATAAGGAATGCCAAACTATTTTTCTAATACGTATAGAGTATACCGTTCACGAAGGACACCATGTACTCCCTTCCGAGATTTAGGGTTACGATGGATAACAGCCCAATAAAGAGAACTTTACATCAAGTGATAAGCTCCTGATCCTCAAACGGAAGGATAAGCATGGAAATTTCATATCTTCTTCTGAAGGTTCACACACAGGTTATTCACTTGCTTTTCACCGGAACTAGTCCAATGTCACCATATAGCTGGCCTAATGTACTTGGCTCCCCGACCTAAAGCTGCCACCTTGACGTGGTGGTCGGGCTTCAGTGCTGCAATGATCCCGCGGGCTACACTGGCTGGAACTTCGTTCCACAAGGTGCAACCATGCCAGGAAGGCCAAAGGGGAGCAGCCAGACCAAGAGCAGCGAGACCCCGTACTACGAGTAATCGTGGTACGAGGTGGTCTGGGGGTAAAGTCGTACCGTCCTCTGCGACAGGAGTGTGAAGGCAGTAAGGTGTTTCCCCCAGGCGACCAGCATGTCCATATTTATGGAAGCAGCGATGCTGCCTTCCCCCGAGGAAGGGCTTAGAAAAGGTCGACCCCAAAAACCGCACACTCCGATCGCCCAACGGTTGACCGTGACCGCCAGCGCATTATCC